ATTATACACACACATACATATATGTAGAGTGTGTGTGTGTGTGTATTATACTCTTAGCACTATGTCTGACAGGCATCTGACAAGTACTTTGTCATAAATGACCATTTATCTAATTCCTCTAATTTTCTAAAAGTGGCCACCAGGGGCCAGCAGGTGGCATGGTAGTTAAGACGCTGGATTCCCACATGGCTTGAATTCTGGATTGAATTCTGGACCTGGTGGCTTACTTTCTCTCTTTCTCTCTGTCTCTCTGTCTCTCTCCTCTCTCTGGTGAGTGCATGTGCCCTATAACAAAATTAAGTAATAATAAGTAAATAAAATTAAATATTTTTTAAGTGACCACTGATTACCATATAGTTTACTTAGGAGCTCAAGCTACAACAAAAATTTCAATATTTTAAATGGCAAGAAAGAGTAACTGTAACCTACATTTAAAAAAACAAGGACGCTATATAAAATATCACATATTTCATTCAATTTATCCAGCCCAAGAAGCTATAAAGGCAATATACAAGAACGTAAAATGGGGAATCCTGGGGCCAATGGTGGCACAGCAGTAAAAGGTGACCCTGAGAGGCTTACCCTGGCAAGGGTACAGGCTTCCACGTAGAGAGCTCCCCAAGCATGCGGGGCATGCCTGTGCTCATGATCCAGGGTTGGCTAAGGGTGGACCATGGCATCAAAACACTGTTGGGAGTGCTATCTTTCTCTCACTTACAGAAGACATCAATAAACTTAAAAAGGGGGGGCATCCCTAATTTATAAGGTTGACTTCAATACAACCTTTGCTCCTAAGTGAAATTTTCTATTAGGACTCATTGTGAAGCTGGCATTCATAGGATCAGAACCACCTACCTCCAGCTGTTCCAGTAGGATCCCACTGATCCCTCTGCTCTGACCTCTATTCTTCAGTTACTAACACACACACTTAAAGCACAGTTATGCACTCACCCACAGAAGTCACATGCATAGTTACCATTGCTTATTTCCAGAAGAAATAAACTCTGAACCTGAGAGCATATAAAACACTGAGACTTTTTACGAATTCAAATTACTACTCTGGTTTACATAAATTCATGAAAATTACTTGTTTTTCAGCTGTATCAAGATAAAAAATTCTAGTCATATTCAAAGATATGGACTAATGACTTCGCATGACATTACAGTAGCAGTTTTAGTTATGGCAAAAGAAGCAAAACATTGATAGGTTCAGTGCTAAGCACTATATATGCATCATCTCATTTATTCCATGCACTGACCCCATGAGGATATTAAAACAAGGAAACGTTTGGTCACTTACCCAGAACCACATGGCTAACAAGTAGAACCAAGCTCTGAACATATGCTGCCTGTGCTTTTTTGGTTTGTTTTTATACCAGAGTGTATAAAAACACTCTGGGCACACACTCGTGTGCACATATGAGAGAAATAATGAGTACATACACGAGTAAGAGTACCCCAAATGGGGCCTGGTCACGCTGCCATCACTTTTCCTTCAACTGTCTATCCTGTTAGGACCCTGGGCACACATATGTACCCATTGTTTTTTTTCAAGACGCCAGGAACAGGGCTCGAATCCTGATCAGACACACGGGACATGGTTCCTCTGCACAGCACTTAACTACTGTGCCGTGGTGCCAGCCCTACCTGAGTTTTTAACCACTAAAAAACACCAGCCATTTTCCTAGTCATATTTTATGATAACTTGATGGCCCATGGTTAAAGGTTTGGCTTCTAACCTGATAGAAGGCCAAAAGTTGTTTCTCAATACAAGAGCCAGTTATCTGCAGAGGATGGAAGGCCTTCTTTCATAATCCCACAGATCTATGCTTTGATTCACCTATGGGGCCTGTCAAAGGCTCCAAACAACCACTCATCTGTCACTGACTCCCCAAGTTCCCTGGGATCTGCTGGATCATGTGACCAGAGTGGCAGAGCAGCTTGCACAGCCTGATGCAGACCGTGGTCTCACTCAAAACTAACAGCTTTTGGGGTCATTCAGTAAACAGGCTGGAGTAGCACACCCAAATGAGGAATCTGTCATCACCAAAATCAAAGAGGCCCACTAGACCTTGATTCTCTGTTTAGGTTGTAGAAGAGGGTATACTTGTCCGATACCACTGAACCCCTAGAAATTTTACTGAAGTGGAGGTTTTGTTGGATTTCCCACCTTTGACATGCAAATGTCTTATCAATAAGTCTAGAGGAGTTGTTATTTCTCACTCACTGTGTCCAATAAGCATAACGTCATTAGGGCCAATGGGATGTCTTGTGAAGGGGAAAAATGAAAAAGGTCTGTATTAATTTGCTAGGGCTGCCATAACAATACTATGAACTGAGGACTGTAAAATAACAGAAATTATCTCCAATTCTGGTGGAGGAGACCAGCAGGAAGTGTAGTAGTTATGTTGCTGGACTCCCACATGGCTGACCATGGTTCAAGTCCCAGACCCAGCATCTTGAAACTCATGCTGGGTGCATGTATGCACGCCCAAAATCCCAAAGAGAATGGATTGCGGCATGGCCATCCCCTCTGGGGTGGGGGGTGATTTCTTGCTTTCTGTCTGTCTCTCTGGTGATCACATGCACCCTATAGCAAAAATCTCTCTAAAAAAATTAATCAATAAATAAGTCCAAGATGAAGGAGTCATCAGCAGGTTGGTTTCTTCTAAGGGCTGTGATCTTACTCAATTGTTGGGAAAATCTTTAAAAAAGACTATTTTACTTGCTCCAAAAAGACAGTAACAGTATGTTCACTCCAATGAATGGAAAAGAGAAATCAGTCCTTCCTCCAAGACTATTTGGAGGAACAAACTTTTCACAAACCACCTCTTTCCTGCCTCCATAGAATACCATCATGTTTAGGAAGCTATAACGTATTAATATATACATTTTAAAATAATTTTTGTGTTTCAAAAAATGATCTCTATCTCTACAACAGAAATCATGCCTTAAAGTTACACCTTTGAGAAGTGTTCTCTCACTTTCTTAATTGTGGTTTGAATTACATCCCACATGTCATTAAAGGAAAAAAAGAAACTTGTGTTCATTTATTCAATAAGCACCTACTACGTGCCAGGCAGTTTAAGGCATGTGGGTTAAATAACTAAACAAAACAATGATGCCTATCTTAATGGAGCTCACATTCTAGCATGATGCTATATTTAGCTGTTTTCTCTCTGAACATAATAACCCAAGCATAGAAGACTATCAAAAAATTTTCTGAAAAATCAGTCAGGCAACTTCCAATCCTCAGAATGACCTTCTAGCAGGCACTATTTCATTATGAGCACAGATTCTGGTCCCTGCAGCTGGACTGCCTGACTACAAATTCTGATTCTACTATTTACCAGTTACTCGGCATTAATTGTGTTACTTAACCCTCTTCTGTAAAACAAAAATAATCACAATGACTCCACTGGATAACAAGAATTAAAAGAGTACAAATGTGTAAAGCACTCCATTTGGCATAGAAGATACTAAAGTATTAGTTTTTACTATTATTTTAATTCAACTTCCAGATAACCAGAGATTACTCAGGCAATAACATGGAAAAGTAAAACCAACAGTAACTTTTAACATTTCTTTATCTAGCCCATTTACTCCCGACATGACTCCTTTCAAGAGTTCTTTCTGTATTCCCAAGTGAACTTAAATGATTTTTAGTTAAGTTTTAGAAGAACTACAAAACATGACCTCTCTATAGCCCTTGCCAACATCAATTTACCATGGAGTTTGTGTAAACACATAGCTGAAGATTTTACTCTAATAAGAACACTTTTTGAAAAGTCAAAATAAGACTTATCTTCTCTACAATTACAACAGCATTTATCTCAAAAAACTTAAGCAAAAGAATCTGAATCTGCAAATGTGAGCTATGAAATTGCTTAGTTCTGGATATGTAAATACACTTTCCATCTCAGTTGTCAATATTCATGAACTGAGGTTAATTCTCATGGTAACTCACCTCATATAATAAAAAAATACTAGAATAGTCATCTGAAGTTGATGGCTAATCCTTGTTCAAAACAGGCCTCATTCTTGGCTCAAAGTTTATAAGGGTCAACAACCTCAGAAGGGCTCATGTCCACAATTCAGAAGTGATTAGATTGCAAAATATATGCTGCAAATGATTTCTTCCCCGAGAGACAAGTCTATTCAATACTTTAACTGTGACTGTAACTACTTACAATGAGAAGGCATGTTTGTAAAACACAATTTCAAAACTGTTTTTAAAGGAATGAGTTTTGGTGACGAACAACTCCGGATGGATTATAAACCTTCATGGTTTTAGACTTTTAGAGTGGGGAGATGTTAAGACACAAATAATTTATCTCAATCTACAGGCACAGTTTTGACCCTAATCTTGGGTTAAAAGCCCTGAATCATGTGCCTTTCTAGTTTCAATACAGTAGGCCCCTTTGATTTCCCAGTGGAAATTTGGAGTGATGAACAAAGTATGTTGTATCCCCCCCAGCTACCCCACACCAAAGTACAACCAACACAGAATGAACCCATAAGGGTTTTTCAAGAATAGGTATGGGCTGCCCCTTGTCCCAGAATCTGACAGATGAGAATAGCTTCCCCGGAGGGAGATAGGGCATGGCTTCTCAAATACAGTAAGGAACCTACCAATCCCTAGGAAGAAAAATGTTAAACAATTCTGGTGCTTTCAGGTCCCTCCTCAACTGGCTTGCAAAGAAGGAAAAAGGTGAAGGGTTACTGCATAGGAGACGGAAAAACAGTCCCAATAGCAGAATTTGCCAAGGCACTGCCCTCACTGAGAAAGGTGGGGGTGACCTCTTTCGGCCTGGAGCGGGGGCACCAGCGAGTGTGGGTGACCCCAGCCCAGCTGGCACATCCCATCAAGGCCTGACAAGCAGCGCGCTCGAGGGAGTTGTCAGGTTCGCCCCCTGAGTTTGATCCTAGACTCACGTCTGATTTGAAGGTGCCCTCTCCACCCTTCCCGCTGCCCCACGGAGGTCCAGGGCCCAGGCTACCTCTTAGGACGTTGGGGCCGCTGCTTCCCGCCGCACGGGCCGGACAGCTCCTCGATGCCAGGCGGTGTCACTCAGCACAGCGACCTGGCAAGCGCGGATCAGTGCCGGAACCCGCGGGGCTCAGGCGGACGCCAGCCCCCACCGCCCCGGCCCCGCCGGCCTCGCCCACTAGCAACGTGCTCACGACCGCCGATGCCCGCTCGGCGCGCCTCTCTGACGTCACCACGCGCGGTACGACGGGACTCGTAGTTCCTCTCCACCGGTGGTGCCACGTGACCCACGCGCCTCCGGACGTGACGTAACAAGCCGCTCGTGGCGCGGGGCCGCCGTTTCCGCAAACAGAATCGTGGGTGGGTGTGGTGGGGGGCGTGTGGCGTTCTGGGACA